GGTCCTGGCCCAGTACGGGCGCGACACTGAGGGTTGCGATCCATTGCCAGACACGAAAAAAGACAAAAAGAAAAAAAAAAAAAAAAGAAAAAGAAAGGGGGGGGGGGGGGGGGGGGGAACCGGATGTAAAGGCTGTCTTGGTTGGGAGGAAACTGGTTTCTCAGATTCAAGTTTGATGGCTTCTAGATCTATCTGGTAGCTTCCTTGGAAAGAGTCCTCCAATGAGTAAGATTTTTTTCTCCTTGAATTTGACTAAAAGGTAAATCTTATTGTTTTAGCATCTCTCAAAGGGTTTTAAGATCATATCTGCAGAACTAAGATTTCAAAAATATATTTTTCTATATTCAAAGTTTTAGGCTTTCCTCTAGCCATCAGAGACAAAATATAGGGGTGAACTGGTCATTACTCTCTGTGACTTCAGAGGACCCCTCACTCCTCCAGTGGGAATTTGTTTCTTCAGGTTTTGACTCCACCCTGCATATGCTACACGGGATGTGTTTTAACCCCATGGCCATCTCCTCTAACATATGGAGCTAAATGTCAGCTTAAACGTCTCAAAATCTTTATTCATTGTATGTCTCCCACAATAGAGATAATTTTTGAAACACCAAATGCCAAGATTGGGGTCCTTCTTGAAACCAAGAGGAAACAGATGACTCTTTTCCCATGGATCTTTCCTCTAGAGACAGATGTCAACTGAAATGGAAAATACCTCATTCAGTATATGTATAAGCAAAACTGACAGTGCTTATTAGTAGCACATGAAATTATTTGGGGAAATTTAACTGGCATCTCCATATTTAAGACCACTGTTACAGGTTAGTATCCTCTCTGATTACTCTTGTACATAGGCTGATAATTTCAGATTAGGAATAAAGTGATCATGTAACCTTCAGTGCTCACAGAGCCCAGGATGTATCTACGTTCGGACTGACGAGATTAGGGGGCTAAGATGGGAGAGAGAGAAAGACGGCTTTTCAAATTTTGTTGCTGAATTTCTGCTGTCAAAAGATCTCTTGAACTGGCTGGTCAGCTCACTTGGTTAGAGCGTGGTGCTGGGAACACCAAGGTCAAGGGTTCGGAACCCCATACAGGCTGGCTGCCAAAAATAAATGAACAAACAAAAAATGATCTCTTCAAACTCCCTCTCAGATGCCCTGAGAGGAAAGTTTCACCTGTCAAATTGAATGAACAACTCTTTATATACTAAAATCCTCTTTTTTAGTTCTATGTTTAAGTAAACAGTCGTCTGGCACTTGTAATTTCTGATTTTATGAGGTCTGTCCTGTGGCTTTCAGGAAAGGATCCTCAACATTAACTCCTGTGCAATAGTGTAAACATAAAGCAGTTGGTCTTGGACATTCTAGTAGGAGTCCTTAGAAAAAAACGCAAGTCCATCCCCAGGCTTTTAGAAGGCCCCCACTTTCAATCTCTTATGAGTGCCCTTAAGCAAAAGGTAGGGATGGAGGCAGGCCTTGACCCAAAGGAGTCAATTCACAGGGTCTACAACACAGCCTGGCAGCAAAGCCTGGAAGAGCAAAGAGGACAGCACTTAGCTAAGCCAAGTAGACTCTGCCTCCAGAACCTGCACAGGAAATTACAGAGAATAATTCATTTAATAACAGGAATTGAAATGCAAAGATATACAAAAAGAGGCAGAACCTGAGAAAGTAGAAGAACCTCATTAGCAGCAGAATGCTTGCAGTAAAGACACTCCTGCTATTGTAGAGGGAATAAGATCACCCAATCCCTAGAGGAGCCCTGGAGCCAAGTTCCTGTCAAGCCCTGCCTCCTTTACAACTCCAATAACATCTTCAGCAAACCCTCACTTCTTCCTGAAGCTTGGGGGAGTCTCTGGTTCTTATAACCAAAGAAGCCAATCTAATGGCCTGCCTCCAATACTGCTAACACCAGCAGATCCACTTTAGTTCCCAACAGAACTGCATTAACAATTTCTAAACGAGCAAGTCTTTCCAGCTTCTCTCCCTAATTAAGGAGAAGCTGGCCAATGCTCGAGTCCTGGCCATTAGGAGTTTTGGGTTTTTTTTTTTTTTTTTTTAAACTTTTGAGTTGCACTGCTGCTGGATTATTCCTATGTACAAGAAACATACACCTTATTAGGAGCCTGGACCTTCTCAGAACGGCAGAGCCACATCACTATGGGTCACTTCATTTACTTCCTGATCAAACCAGAAAAATAATTCAAAGCACATCCCTAACCACCCAGATGCGTCACCTGAATATGTTACTCCAGCTTGGGGATTACCTTGCCTTATGAATTCCCTTCCTCCATCCAAAGTTATTTTGAATATATACATGTGACTGAGTTTTAAGAAATTTACTCTAGCTGTATTTGACCTTAGTTTAGTCTCAAGAAATGAGACTTTGGACACTGAAAAAGAAGTAGAAAAAGAGTTTACCTGCTGTTCTGAAAGCACCTAATCCATGAAACTGACACTCCTCGCAAATCACTTTTACTACATTCCGTTGTGTCTTTGGCAGTCTGTATTTTGGAAATACTTTAATGACTGTTTAGTCACTCAAAAAAGTATAGACTAATACCACAGCAAACTGTTAACTTCCGGGGGAAAACATCCAAACGCAGAAGCTCTTGGTTCCACTGACCTGTAATTGCTTTCACCACCATGTCAGACACTTCTGGAATTTCTTCATTAACAGGGACACAGAGCATCTGAGGTGTAACCCAGTGGAGGGCTCTACAAAGAGAGACAGACAGTAAAGAAGAGTTCCAAGAGTGACTGTGGTCATTTATCTTGTCATTTCCTTTAGTTCAGGGAAAATGGGGCGCCACTGAGTAATCAGGCAACCCCAGGCCCACGCATATCACCCCTGTGCATATTAGGAGCTCGACTGGCATGATGAAGGAGCTAGAATCCTAAAATGAGACTTCTCTTCTGCATGTGTCACAAGAGCAATAGAAGACTCCTCTACTGGTTGAAGTGAGATGATACTACTAAGAATGAAAAGCACTCAATGTTTGAGAATGAAGATTTGGGAGGAATCTGTGGCTCCTGATCCTCATTGTCCTTCACACTCCACCCTCAGCTCCTGAGGCATGTTGTGTGAGAGGCTACCCAGCATGCGTGCCCTCAGCCTGAGTCCTGGTGTGTTTCCTGGCCACTCCCCCATTCATGCCAAAGACTCCTGCTGCCTCACCAACTGCTTGGTCAGTGCTCTCGCCCTGCACCTCTGTCCAGTGCCCATCTGGTTACTTCCAGCTCCTTATCTCAGCCGTGTCTTCCATCTTCCCAGTATCAACAATTCACCTCTCGGGCCGGCCCGGTGGCGCACTGGATAGTGCGCCGCTTGGGAAGCGCGGCGGCGCTCCCGCCCGAGGGTTCGGATCCCACATACAGACCGGTTCCCGCTCACTGGCTGAGCGAGGCGCGGGAGCAACACCGAGGGTTGCAATCCTGTTGCCGGTCCCCGGTCCGGTACGGGGGCAACACTGAGGGTTGCGATCCGTTGCCGGACACGGAAAAAAAAGACAAAAGACAAAAAAAAAAAAAAACGATTCACCTCTCATGTGACACCCCCCCAGTACAGAAGCACTGATCAGCAACCCATTTGGGACCCCGTTTGGAATTCCTAGGCCCCCCTCCTCCTGCTCAGACCTAGGGCTAGGCGCTCCACTGCCCCTGGAGTACAGAGGCCGGGACTCACTCTCCTGGGCCTGGAGGACAAGCTGAATAATGCGTACCCTGGTAGGGGTGAGGAAAGATGACACCTGCTGCCTTGATGTGGGTATTCACAGCTTCCTGCCTGACCACAAGATGAGGAAACTGTCCAAGATCATGTAAAAGTCTCCATTTCCTTGATTTTCGGGAATGCAAAAAGTAGGAGTGTCCCATGGACTGTATGAGGCTCAATGTGTCCTGCTCGTAATTGTCCTTGTATCAGAAGATGAGCTTGTTGTAATTCCTCCCTTTTAAGAGGCCACTGCTCCACCCAAACAGGGGGTCCAGTAATTCATTGCAGTTTGAGTGGTGGGAGTTTAGCAGTGGCCTTCATGATAAATTTGGAGAAGTGCCTGTGTAAACATGCCATTGTATAAGTAAATCTCTCCCCATAAAGTAACAGGGAGATCCATTATGAAAGGCACAGTAATGGCAGTTTGTCCCTCAGGTCCTATACATTTGAAAGAATATTTACTTTGGTGTGGGGTTTGTGTTCCTCCCAATACAGATACAGTCATGAAAGAGGAACAAGTTTTCCAGGAGGGAATCCAATTTTTGGAAGCAATTACAGTAAAATTTGTTCCCGAATCAATTAAATGTGTTAATGCTTTTTGATTTGTGGTGAGAGTGAGGAGGGTTCGTCCATTATTTATCTTTGTAATCCAATAAGCTTCAGTACTACCCAAAACCCTTGTTCTTCTTTATTTATATGTCCAGGGGTAATAAATAGTATTAATATTGACTGAGCAGTATGAATTCCTATGAGAATGACATGATACCCTAAACTAGCAACCATAATTTTAATTTGTCCAGTGTAATCTGAATCAATAAGTCCTGGTATTGTATGAATACCTTAACTAGAATAACTAGATTTTCCTAACATAAGTCCTATTGAACCATTAGGCAAAGGCCCCCATATGTTTGTAGGAACAATTTTTTTATTTGTCCAGCCTCATCTAAAATTAAATCTTCTGTTATGGATAAATCAAGTCCTTCATTTTTTGTGATTTTTAAAGCAGTTGATAACAAAAGTAGCAACATTTTAATTGCACCTGTGTAACTCAGTGAAAGTTTATCCTCCAGGAGGAACTGGCCAAGTGCCCAAAACATAACCTGTTCACCAAAATAGTCCATAGATATGCTTAACTTATCTGGAGACAGCCCAGCTCAAGAACTCGAGCCATTCTTCCCTTCAAGCCAAGCATGACATTCCTGGTGGTACCCAGCACAATTCCCCTAGGGTGGGTCAGGCCCAAAGGAATTTGCATGTACACCAGTTGTCTATAAGGTTGTTAAATAATTAGTCACTGCAGGCAATAGGCAAAGGAGATTTCTATGAAGACCTCAATTTTATTTCTTTTACAGGAGACTACTGTAAACAGTTTGCCATGGAGGTATGGTGAATGTGTTTGGTCCCCTCTCCTTTGCAGGAGAGGATGCCCTATGGGGGTGGCTGACATACCATCAATATGATGAAATATTGTAATTGTGCTGGGCCTAGTCCACTTGGCTAGGTCCCCAGCCACCAAACCATGACAGATAATTGAGCTATGCAGATAACCTGGAAGCAACATTTGAAAAGTTCATTGTTTTCTTTCCCAGGCAAAGGCAAGCTGATCTTGGATATCAGCCAAGAGAAAAAAGCATTTGCAAAGTCCAGTACACAATGACAAGTTCTAACAAGATCTATGTAAGGTTCGGTAGGCCATTGTCTAACAGTGGCAAAAAAGCCAGTAGGGGTATTTGTTTCTCGAATTTTATTCCATGCTTTAATAGCTGTCTTTGACAGTTAAGCAAACACCTGAGGATGAAGTCTAGCTTGATCCTGAGGTTAATTAAGATAAGCCCCTTTTCCTACCAGCATATTTCCATCTACAGGAATATTATTTAAATTTTCCATTGAAATAGTGGTGGTGGCATCACAAAACTCCTGAAGCCAAACACTGTATTGAGCTGTTGTTAATACAGTTTTAACAAGGGTTTTCCAGTCCTATACTGTCATATCATAATTATTGGCTATAGATTTTACTATTTCTTTAATAAAAGAACTTTGGAGGCCATTTAACGTTATACTTTTCTGGAATTTCTTATAAACAGCAAAAGGAAGGCTCTCATACTGAGGACCTTGATTTCCATCTCGGATGATAGGAAAGGCATGTAACATTTAAAAGCGGCTGCAGCAGAAACAGTGAGAGCATCCTGTTTATCCACTTTAGCTATGGTTTTAGGACTTTGTGTTGGCCATAGGCAATTCTATATGAATTCCATGTTGTAAGATGAGAAGCATTTATGGTACCAAGAGCATTTTTTAACCATTTACCAATATATTCCCAATCCTCTAAATCAAGACTCACTTATCGGGGATACCGAGGACATTGTTGTCTAATTACCAGTAATAGTTTTATAAGCTGGTATTCAGTTACTTTATATCCAGCTGCTTTCAAGAGACGTTGAAGCTGTAATTTATATTGTATTTCTTTCCTTTTTTTTTTTTTTTTTTCGATAGTAAAAGAGAAAATGTCTGCGTGAAAAGACCTAACTGGACCTTCCCGTAGACGTCCCAGGCTAACCCACAGTTGCCTATGTTCCTTACTGGAATGAATGAATATGTCAGATGTGCCCTTTACCCCTTCGAAAGGTTAGTCTCTGTTCAGTAGAGTACAGTTTCCTCACACAGGGCACCAGGAAACGAGAAAACAAGTCCTCCTGTTCCTTGGAAATTTTGGAAACAATCTCAAACACCAAACACGTTTCTTATCTAAAGCTGCCTGGATTCAGATGGACAAGCAAGATTACCACATTCCTCCTCTTTCTGACACGCAGAGAAGATTACATGCTAAGGATGGCAGGTACTTTAGCTGTTACTTTCTCTTAAGGTTTAAAACTCAAGTGCCTTATTTTTCCACAATACGTTCTTCCATTAAGAAGGCAGTAAACATAAGACAAAGCAAAACAAATGACTACCTGATCCTCTTCTGAACAGCAAGGTCTTTCTTCTCGTCATCAGTGGTTTCTGGGCAGAACACATATTTATAAAGGCGAGTCATGATGTACTTCTCAATCTGATCCATTATCTTCTCAGCTCTTTCTGGAGGCACTGAAATACCCAAATGAATATAAAAGCTCAGGAGAAGGCTGAACATTTTAAATTAAGAGTATGTTTTCAACTACTTTCTATGTAGCAATAAATTAATTTACTAGAAATACATTAAACACACCCAGAAACAAAAGTATAAGATGTTACATTAAAAAATACCCTTTATGGGCCGGCCTGTGGCTCACTCGGTAGAGTGCGGTGCTGATAACACCAAGGCCACGGGTTCGGATCCTGTATAGGGATGGCCGGTTTGCTCACTGGCTGAGCGTGGTGCTGACAACACCAAGCCAAGGGTTGAGATCCCCTTACCGGTCATCTTTTAAAAAAAAAAAAAAATACCCTTTATCAGCTCCTAAAGTAGAGGAGTCATGAAAAATATACCGTTTAAAGAGTTGCCTCAACTTCTGAGATCGCCTTTTACAGAATCCCCATTTCTAACTTAAGCTGTTTTGGCAGGACCTAACAGGTGGCACCCTGCTACGTGGGAAGACCTCAGCACCGGCCACTCCCTCCTGCTACATTACAAACACGTTTGCAATTCCAACACTGATGCATGCTGTGCAAGACTTACCCTTTCATTTTCCTGAGTTTCACCATAAAACAGAAGAGATCTCTCTGGGCTCTCTAAGATCTCTGGGGCAGATTTCTCACTATTCACATGTGCTAAGTACATCCTAAAGTCCAACATCAACGCAAGTTGAATTCAAGAAGATTCCCTAAAAACCTAAAACTCTAAGTCAGTGATTCTCAACTTGTCTTCTGACCCAACCCCCTTGAGGAATACATCATCATGAACAATGACTCACCAAAACAGTGATTCTGAGATGGGGGATTCATTTAGAAAAGTCTCCCACAAGTTTCAATCTGTTCCACCCCTGCCCCTAATGGAGTTTTTGAACATTACTCAATAAATTATCCAATTGCACTTGGAAAGGTACACAAGGTAGTATACAAAGGCACTGCTAAGTATAAGACCAGTCACCAGAAGTCAATGAAGCAGTTACAGGATGGAGTGGATAAACCAGCCGGGCCATCAGAGAAGAAGGGAAAGCACCAAGAGACTGAGCAGTCAGCCAGCCCCTGTGCAACTACCAGCAATCTCTCAGTAGCCAACTAACAAAGTATTACCTTTCCCACGAGTCTGCATTCTTTCAGCCACATTCTGGTAAAAATCCTGAGTACACTCTGATTGTTCCTCAATGCTTAAATCCTGAAACAAAGGGAGAAAGAGGCTGCTTGGTAGGTGAAGAAAGTTCATGAGTACTGCTCTTAACCTTAAGAAGTTTCCAAAAACCACTCCTTGCACTGGTGCTAATCCTGAAAGTACTTACGAGTTATAGTAGTTCTGTAGGGGAGAAAAACCTATCCACTAATATTACTTACAACATCCCATGACCTTTTAATTCTTTTTACTGTATGTACATATTATTCCATAAATATAATGCATGTTTTGATAATGTACATATTTATGTACATTTACATTTATCTACTCTGGTTAATCATTTCTGGTAGCTTCACAGTACTCCACTACATCAGTCAGTTCTACCCTCCACCACTGGGCATCTGTGCCACTTCGATTTTTTCACTGTTGTGTACTGCAGCTATATACAATTTTTTGAAGACTGTTTCCTTTTGGGTTTCTTTGTGATACTTTTCCCAAAGTGGCACTAACAGTTTAGTAAGTATGAACAACTTTCTAGCCAGATACAATCCTCAGAAACTCCAGTGTACACTGTCATTAGCCATTTGTGTGTGCTTATTTCTCCATGGCCCCTATAACATTGGGCTTTCTAATTTTTATTTGCTTTTACTGGTTTTATAGGTAAAATATATGAATTTATTCCCAACTTTCTTCCAAGGAATGTTTAAAGTCTATATAAAAGACGAATACAGTTCAGCACAATAATTTAGAAAATAAAAAGAATAACAAAAAAAAAAAAAAAAACATGGACAGAGACAGAAAGTAGAGCCAGGAATAACACAAAAATGTATTCTCTGAGGATATATAAGTTAGTCAAGATTGAGCCCATAAATTTTTCTCTAACAAAACTTTCTAGCAATCATCACGAAAATGAAAACAGTTTAAAAATTTGGGGTTCAAAATTTAAAGGCAAACTGATTCTTCAGGTAAAATTCTGACTCCCAAATCAGAAATTTCTCCCTAGGCTTCTCATAGAGTTGTCACTGTAGAAGGGCATGGGTAAGGCCTGGACACATTCCTCAGCACTGTTTCTCATAAAACTTACCTGCACAGGCCAATGACACTACACACCCAGGGACAACAAAGCCCTATAGAAGCATGCAGCAGTCTTGACACTCTTGCTTAATTCTGAAAGGATTGGGGCACTCGGGGCCAGGACAGTCACCACACCACACCCATCTGCCTTCACGTCTTCACATCTATCCTGTCCTGGTTTCACCTTCATTACCTCTCACCTGGAGCTCAGTTGCTCTCCCAGCCTTCAATCTTTATCACTTTTCAATGCATTTTGCATACTACAGTCAAACTCATCATCTTAGACTATGATCTGGTCACACTGCATCTCAAACCTCCAATGGTTATCTACCAGCTATATGCTGAAGTGTACACTCAGCCCAAAGTCTTTAGGGCTCAGTTCACATTTTACATCCTCTAAGAAATTGTCCCTCATTCCTTTAATGAAGATAATCTGGTAGGTCAGGTCTTCAAGCACTCACGGCACTTTGTGATCACCTGGACTGCAGCCCTGTTACTATCTTAGATATCTACACACATGCCATTTGGCTGAATTAAAAGTGATTCCTCATCTAGAAAAGTCTAGGTACTACCCTTAGTAAATTTTACATATTTTGTAATATTAAGCTCTTATTTATATTCATCATAATTTCCCACTGTCGCCTTCTGCTTTACCTGAGTTTTATTTTTCATTGCACAGATTTTTAAAAAGTCAATACCATTAAATCCTTTACCTGGTCATTAAAAACAATTCTTCAATAGTTCAATTTTAGCTCGTCTCCACAGCTGAAGTAAATATCCTCATCTGCTTTCTCCTAAATTTTTTCATGTTTAGCTCCTTAGCTTTTTAGCCTGGCAGGAACATAAGGTGCATAGTATGAAACACAGACCTACAACAGTTTGCACACAAGCCTACCTGTCTTCTTCAGCAGCCTTTAGTAAGAAGCGGCCCTGTTCCCCTTGTTTTCCAGTCGTCATATAATTTGCTCCTGAGAAACTGAATCCATTTCTGGAATACCTGGTTTATTTCACTATTGTATATTTTTATCTTTTACCTAAATCTCATCTAGTTGTGATGACTTTCATTTTAGAATATATTTCAAAGTCTTCCAGATTGAGAAGCCTCTTCTCCAGAAATCCTTGCCTTTTACCCCCCTCACAAAAAAAATTCTATATTTGCTTCCTTGTTTTTATAGAATAAACAATGTAACACTGTAATTTAAATATTTTAAGTGTTTATATTATCTTTTAATTTTCTCTCAGCTAGATCCAAGATATAATTCTCAAACTGCCTTTTAATTCTTTGTATGAACTTCTAATTTTTCACATTAGATTAAGTTCTTAATAGTTAATGTTCTTTATTGCTATTATCTTTAAAAATTGTGGAGTTTTTTTGTCAGCTGGCCAGTATGAGGATCCAGACCCTTGACATTGGTGTTATAACACTGCAGTCTAACCAAGTGAGTAACCGGCCAGCCTCAAAATTGCTATTTTAAAAAAATGTGCTAGGTCTTTAATTTTTTATCATTGGCATATGCACTGTAACTGAATTTTGTGGACTGACCTTATCATGTTGCTGAATTTATACCTCTAACTCTTTCCCATCTTGCAAGATAGCAGGTGACAAAGCTGAGAAGCCAGATGCTAAGGAGAAAACAGAAGCCAAGAAGGCTGATGGCAGTGGCAAGGTTAAAAAGGCTAACCTCAAGGCTAAAAACCCCAAGAAGGGAAGCCCCACTGCAGTGAAACCCTGTCTTCGTTAGAGAAATTGGCAGCTATTCCTGCTCTGCCATGCATTCCAGAAAGGCCAAGTACAAGAGGAAGTACTCAGTGAATAAGTCCAGGATTGAAAGAAGAAGAACAAGAAGATTCCTGCTACTATCACAAAACCAGTTGGTGGTGACAAGAAGGGTCGTACTCGGGTGGTCAAACTTCGCAAAATGCCTAGATATTATCCTACTGAAGATGTCACTCGAAAGCTGTTGAGCCATGGCAAAAAAACCTTTCAGTCAGCAAGTGAGAAGACTGCGAGCTAGCATCACTCCAGGGACCATTCTGATCATCCTCACTGGGCGCCAGAGGCAAGAGGGTGGTTTTCTTGAAGCAGCTGAGCAGTGGCTTGCTACTTATGACTGAACCTGTGGTCCTCGATCGGGTTCCTCTGCGTAGAACACACCAGAAATTTGTCATCGCCACCTCTACAAAAATTGATATCAGTGATGTAAAAATACCAAAACATCTGACTGATGCATACTTTCAGAAGAAGAAGTGGCAGAAGCCTAGACACCAGGAAAGTGAGATCTTCAACAAAGAGAAAGAGAAGTACGAGATTACAGAGCAGCACAAGGCAGATCAGAAAACTTTGAGATTTAATGCCTGCCCTGCTGGGTTTCAGACTTGTTTAGGACCTGTTACCCCTTACTTTTGGCCTATTTCTCCCTTTTGGAATGGGAATATGTACCCTGTTTGTCCCACCATTGTATCCTGGAAGTAGATAACTTGTTTTGAATTCACAGATGGGACTTTGAACTTTGGACTTTTGAGTTGACACAAGTCAAGTCTTTGGGGATGAAATAAATGTGTTTGCATGTGTAAAGGACATGAGTTTGGGGAGGCTAGGGGCGGAATGTAGTGGGTTGAATTATGTCCCCCCAAAACTCACTGAAGCTTGACTGTGTCCAAGTTTCATGTATTAGAAACTTGGCCCCCACTGTGACTGTTAAAAGGACAGGAAATCTTATGGTAATTGAAAGGTGGAGCTTCGAAGAGGTGATTAGATTATAGCACTGTGCAATAGTGAATGGATTAAAAATGGTGGTCAGGGGTGTGGTTCTGAGGGCTTTAAAAAGAGAGTGAATGAGGTTAGTCTCACTCTGCCTCCACCATCTTGCAATGTGAGACCCTGGGTCACTGTTGCCATAACTGATGTGTTACTTGGAACTTGACTTCCCGGCCTCAGAAACTGTAAGCAATAAATTTCATTTTCTTTATGTCACCCAATTCCTTGTATTTTGTTTTAAGCAACAGAAATTGACTAATGCAGTATCTCTGAATATTAATATTGAGAAGTACTCTGTACACTTTCTAAACTATCTGGCTGAAGTCTTTTTTTCCACCTCTAGTTTTAAAAACCTGTATTTGACTATTTCCTTAATTATGTTTCCTTTGTAATTCACATGGAACTCCCATTACTAGAATTTGGGTCTCCATATTCTGGGTCCATTTAGTTTCCTTTGTCCTGTTGTTAATTATTTAATCCATTTAGATTTTATATTTTTTTTAATTTTATTTATTTTTTAAAAAATTTTATTTTGTCAATATACAATGTGGTTGATTATTGTGGCCCATTACCGAAACCTCCCTCCCTCCCCCCTCTCCTCCCTCCCACCCAACAATGTACTTTGCTTGTCGTATCAACTTCAAGGAACTGTAGTTGTTTTGTCTTCTCCCCCCACCCCCCAGTTTTTTTTGTGTGTGTGTGTGTGTGTGTGAATTTATTTATTTATTTTTAGCTCCCACCAATAAGTGAGAACATGTGGTATTTCTCTTTCTGTGCCTGACTTGTTTCACTTAATATAATTCTCTCAAGGTCCATCCATATTGTTGCAAATGGCAGTATTTCATTCGTTTTTATAGCTGAGTATATATACTACAGTCAAACTCATCATCTTAGACTATGATCTGGTCACACCGCATCTCAAACCTCCAATGGTTATCTACCAGCTATATGCTGAAGTGTACACTCAGCCCAAAGTCTTTAGGGCTCAGTATTCCATTGTGTAGATATACGACATTTTCCATATCCACTCATCCGATGATGGACATTTGGGCTGGTTCCAACTCTTGGCTATTGTAAACAGTGCTGCGATGAACATTGGGGAACAGGTATACCTTCGACTTGATGATCTCCATTATTCTGGGTATATTCCCAGCAGTGGGATAGCTGGGTCATTTGGTAGATCTATCTGCAATTGTTTGAGGAACCTCCATACCACTTTCAATAGAGGCTGCACCATTTTGCAGTTCCGCCAACAATGTAAGAGAGTTCCTGTTTCCCTGCAACCTCTCCAGCATTTATCGTTCAGAGTCTTTTGGATTTTAGC